GTCCTCCACACCTCTCTGCTGCTTCTCCTCTGTTACCCACCCACACCCCCATTGAAACAGTGTCAACTTGCCCACGGCTCAAATTAAATAAACCAAAACACAGCTCTAAAAATAAAAACCATAAAAATCTTATTAAAATAAATGGTTACTTTACCAGAGCAAAATCATAAAATGAAATGTGGATTATTGAACATCAGATCTCATTCCTCTAAATCCCTGTTAGTTAATCAACTGATAACTGATCATCATATTGATTTATTCTGTCTGACAGAAACTTGGCTACAGCAGGAGGATTTTGTTAGTATAAATGAATCCACTCCTGTTAATTATTTAAATTTTCATGTTCCTAGAACAACTGGCCGAGGTGGAGGAGTAGCTTCTATTTTTCAGTCAGGATTACTGATAAATGCCAAACCAGTTATTAGTTACGATGCTTTTGAATCACTGTCCCTCGGTCTTTCTCATCCAAAATGGAAATCAGAAAAGCCACTTTTACTAGTTGTTATACATCATCCACCAGGCGCTTACTCTCATTTTTTGTCTGAATTCTCAGAATTCTTAACTGACTTACTATTAAATACTGATAAAATCATCATAATGGGTGATTTCAATATTCATGTAGATGTTGAAAGTGATAGCTTAAGCAGAGCCTTTAATAATTTAATAGACTCATTTGGTTTTACCCAAAACGTCCGCACATCTACTCATTATCATCATCACACTCTTGATTTAGTTCTGACCTATGGTATAGCGATTAAGGACTTGGTAATAGTTCCTCAAAATCCTATTCTGTCCGACCATTTTTTAACAACCTTTGAGTTTACATTAAATGACTACAGTCACTGAGAGTAAATTTCATCTCAGCAGGTGCTTATCAGAAAAGGCTTTAACCAAATTTAAACAATCTCTTCCATCAATGTTTTCCTCTGTCTTGCAGAGTAATGCATCAGAGAACAGTGACTTAGATCATCTAGTTGATCATCTTACAACTTCAATGCAAACTTCACTTGATAAAATTGCTCCACTGAAAAAGAAAGTAATCAATCAAAGGAAACTGGCTCCTTGGTTCAATTCTGAGTTATGTACTTTAAAGCAGGCATCAAGAAACCAGGAGAGAAAATGGCGCTCTACTAATGTTGAAGAATTTTATTTAACTTGGAAAGACAGTCTGCTAACATATAAAAAAGCTCTCCGTAAAGCTAGAACTTTATATTACTCATCTTTAATAGAGAATAAAAATAACCCTAGGTTTCTGTTTAGTACTATTGCTAGACTAATTAAAAGTCCCATTTCTGTTGAACCATGTATCCCTACAACTATAAGTAGTGATGACTTCATGAGATTCTTTATAAATAGAATTATTTCAATTAGAGAGAAAATTCAAACCATCTTTCCTTCTACTAGCTCTAGTCCCCTGTCAAATGAGGCAACTTTAACAAATTCACTAGAGCCTGATTTATGTTTGGACAGTTTTTGTCCTGTTGAGCTCTCTGAATTGTCAAAAATAATTACCTCATCCAAACCATCCACATGTCTGCTAGATCCCATACCAACCAGACTGTTTAAAGAGGTATTTCCCCTAATTAATGTCCACATTTAGGATCTACTTAATTTGTCTTTAATGAATGGTTATGTACCACAGCACTTTAAGGCTGCTGTAATTAAACCTTTACTTGATAAGTCTGAACTTGATTCAGAAATTCTGGCCAACTATAGACCTAAATCTAATCTAACTTTCATCTCAAAAATTCTAGAGAAAATAGTTGCAGGTCAGTTGTGTGAACATCTACAAAGAAATAATCTGTTTGAAGAGTTTCAGTCAGGGTTTAGAGCTCATCATAGCACAGAAATAGCACTAGTAAAAGTAAATAATGATATTCTCATGGCCTCAGACAATGGACGTGCGTCTATACTGGTCCTGTTAGACCTCAGTGCTGCATTTGATAACAGTTGATCACAATATTTTACTACAGAGGCTTCAATATGATATTTGGATTACAGGAAAAACTCTAAAATGGTTTAAATAATATCTATCTGATAGATTCCAGTTTGTAAATGTAAATAATAAATCTTCTTCATACACCAAAGTTAGTCATGGAGTTCCTCAGGGCTCAGTGCTTGGGCCAATACTCTTTACTCTATATATGCTTCCATTAGGTAAAATTATTAAACAGCATGAGATAAATTTTCATTGTTATGCTGATGACACACAATTATATTTGTCCATTAAACCCAATGAATCCAATCAGCTACTTAGACTACAATAATAATAATAATAATAATAATGTCATCACAATGTCAGCACTGTATGTTTCCATACAATGGCGAAATTAGTCTCTGCATTTAACCCATCCACCACCAGGTGGTGCAGTGGGCAGCTATTGAAAGCGCCCGGGGGGCATTTTGGGGGTGAAGCGTGCTGCCCAGAGACGCCACGTGATGTGTAGTGACTGGGGATCGAACCTAGGCATGTCTTAAAGACATAAAAACCTGGATGACCCTTAATTTTCTCCTGTTGAACACAGACAAGACTCAGGTTTTGGTTTTTGGACCTGAGCACCGTAGGAATTAATTTATCAGTCTTTCTCCCTCCAGCTCTAATGTTAAAAATCTTGGTGTTATTTTTGATCAGGACATGTCTTTTATCCCCCACATTAAAAACTTTACTATAACTGCCTTCTTTCACCTGCGTACTATCACTAAAATTAGAAACATTTTATCTAAAAATGATGTAGAAAAACTGGTCCATGCATTTGTCACGTCTAGACTGGACTATTGCAATGGTTTATTATCTGGGTGTCCAAATACTTCTTTAAAACGTCTTCAGTTGATCCAAAATGCTGCTGCCAGAGTCTTAACTGGAGTTAGTAGGAGAGATCATATCTCTCCAGTTTTAGTTTCTCTCCATTGGCTCCCTGTCAAATCCAGAATAGAATTCAAAATCTTACTTCTAACCTCCAAAATCTCTCAACAACCTGACTCCATCTTATATTATAGATCTTATTGTTCCATATTTTCCAAATACAGAGCACTTCGCTCTCAGACTGCAGGTTTACTTGTGGTTCCTAGAATTGACAAAAACAGAATGGGAGGCAGAGCTTTCAGTTATCAGGCTCCTCTCTTGTGGAACCAACTTCCAGTTTATGTCTGTAAGGCCGGCTGACACATTGTCCAGTTTTAAGGGCAAATTGACCACAATTTTCACTCTGCTACTGTCTTCACTTACTGTGCTCAACCTGTTTATTTGTAATTATTTTTTATATCCTTAACATGTGTTTTTTTTTGTCTTTCAGATACACCTGGACCTATACCTGGACCTACCATTCTGTGTTCATCTGTCTCTCCTTCCTGTCCTCTCAAACCAGCCAGTCAAAGCAGATGGCCGCTTGTCCTGAGCCTGGTTCTGCTGGAGGTTTCTTCCATTTAAAAGGGAGTTTTTTCTTTCCACTGTTGCCACTGTGCTTGCTCAGGATGGGAGACTGCAACGAAGCCAAGATTCAACTTGCCTGCTGGATTCCTTAGATAGAGAACTTTACTAATTGGCTTTTATGTATGTGAATGTTCCTGTAAAGTGTCTTGAGACAACTTTGTTGTGATTTGGCACTATATAAATAAACTGAATTGAATTTGTTATGTGTTGAAATGGGTAAGAACCGAGAAGAAGTTGTAAATAGTATCTTTAACTAAGAATGCTCTTTTCCTGTTTTAATATGTCAGTAAAGAGGACGTTTTTGTCATGTAGTGGTGCAACACGAAAATTTTAGCATTATTGTTACAATGTATGATGAAATAAAAAAAGAGTACAGTAGTTCCTCGTTACTTTGTGGTTCGTCTTGCACAGACGTGCTTTTTCGCGGGTTTTCAAAGATTGTCAACTTTAATATTACTCATGTGATTGAGACGTTGTGCAGCCTTCACCACTCTCTGCAAAGCTTTTCTTTCTCCAGCTGTGCAGCCTCCATGCCATATGTTGATGCTGGAGAATAGGATGCTCTCCACTGCGCACCTGTTGAAGGAGGTGAGGACTGGCACCACCATTTTGTAGTTTTCTTTCAATAAGCCTAGCAGAAGCCAGCAGTCCTTGCAGTCACTGCTTTCTGACAAAATGGAGGGAAAGTGTTGCAGCGTAAATCTACGCCATCTATTAAGTTCCCAGAGCTGGCTGGAAAGTAGCAAATAATCCTGAAGCTCAATTATCCACATGCACATCAACCTGGACGAGGCGGTGGGCTTTGTCGTTGCAGGGTAAATCTGCCGAACCAGAACTGAGCTGAACCAGAACAGAGCTGCTGTTCTGCAGAGCTCATGAGTAAAATCTTGCAGTAGCTGCTGTACAGTACATATACGTAATGTTGTTAAAATTACGTAGGTAAGAGTATAGAACATTACAAAAGTGTGGCAAAGGTTTATAAAGCCTTAATGTATGGTTGAATGAATGAATATAAATACTAAAATAAATATAGTAGTCCCTCGTTTATCGTGGGGATTACGTTCCGGACCCCCTCGCAATAAGTGAAAACCCACGAAGTAGGAATGATATAGTTATTTTAGTATGTATATATATTGTAAGACTTTAGATAATTTAATCTTATGTTATAGGTTATGGGCAGAACTAGCAAAGACATTGTTTTAACTTTGTCCTTGATTTGTGACCTTGATGCCGGGGTGATGAGAAGTGTATGTGGCACTCTGTCTAGTGATGATGTATATGAAGTTTTGTTAAATAATCTTGAACAGATTAGAAATTAAAAGTGAGACAAGAGAAAGTTTATGTATGTATGGAGACTATACTGTAAAACGCCTGCCTTACCAAAAAATTATAAATTACCAAGACATTACCAAGCTGCCAAAAACTTGGTAATTTCACCAAATAGGTAACAGAAGGGCTTTATAGTGAGTAAATATGTGCAACTGTGTGACTTAAAAAAAAAAACAATACACACACACACACACACAAAAATTGCAACTGCTATTTATAGAAACAAGACAGTGAAACTCACCAAGCACTGCAGGGTTGCCGATACGGTTAGCAGGTTTGGGTGGAGGGGCAGGAGGTTGCTTGGCATGAGGGGGGATGGGGGGAGGTGTGTCAAAGTCAGCTGGGGAAGCAGCAGCAATGGGAAGACGAAGTGGGGCTTCAAATATTAGGGAGATTGTCCTGGGTGGTTTGGACATAGGAACTTCAACAGATGAAGAAGAGGTGGTGGAGGAAGAAGATGAAGCAGAGGGTGTTGGACTTCTAGCAGACTCGAGAGAAAGACCAGTAGGGAATTTAGGAGGGAGCACAGCTTGCTTGGGTGGGGGAGGTTCCAGTAGGGAGTCCTGTATCAGATGAGGGTCAGAGGCAACGCAGACACCAACAGACTCTAGAGAGGCGGGGTACACAAACAAATACAGGCCGTCATTAAATGAGAGTTTTAACAAGGCTTAAAACATACAGCTTTGGAAAACTATGTAAACAGGAAACACACACAACACGGATGCCAAAGCTGAGCTACAGAGTCAGGATTGTAGGATCTTCTGATCTTTCAGTTCTGACACAGGGAGGAAATCTGCTCAGAGCTCTGCAGTAATTAAAAGGAAAGGCAACAGCTCACAACAAACATGAAAGTTCAAAGATGCACAATAGTGTCTTCATGAATTGTCGTTTAAACTTAATCATGACTCAGAACAGATGATGGGTTGCAACACTTTGTCATTCCCTTAATGGGGACTACTAAAGGACTAAAATCCCAATTTGAGAAAAAAAAAGGTTGTGCAAATCATAAATAAAAACATAATGTGATGATTTGCAAATATCAGTCACCCCTATAATATTTATATTGCAAAACAGTAAACATAAAATGTTTAAACTAAGAAAATATACCATTTAAAAAATGTTTTTTTTTTTTAACGGCAGCAACATTTTGCAAAAAGGATGTTGGGAAGAGGTAAGAAAAAAAACAGCACAAGTGGTTCAAATACACAGCTGGAGGAGCACTTTGTAACAAGTAAATAAGAGGATTGAGTATGAAAAATGACATTTTAGAGGCCGAGTCCCACAGAAGTAAATATGGGTATAGGTCCACTAATTTGCACAAAACTGCACCTAAAATCAGGAGTAAGCTGTTGGAAGAAGAATCATTTTTGTTGTGTGTTTCCTTGACTGATGAAGCCTTCCGGATCGAAGGCAAAACGTTTCAGCACAAAAAAAGAAACTGTCCAGATGACCTTACTGAAAGATGTTGGATTTTATACCTGGATTATTGAGCATGGGCTTTGTTGTTGCGCCTAAAATAGTTTAACAATTTTAGAAATTGTTTCTCCACAAAGTTTAAGTTTGAGTTTAAAATATTATCAAAAGATTTCATGAATCTGGAGAAATCAGAGCTCAAAAGGACAAGACTGAAAGTCAATACTACCGGTAGATGCTGGTAATCTTTGGGTCCTCAAGGGCCACAGCATTAAAAACAGGTTTAATTATTTTATGAACATTACTGCATGGGCACAGGAACAATTCCACTAATCATTGTCTGTAAACACACATCAATATGGCATCCACAAATGCAAGTTAAAGCTCTAACATGCAAAGAAGAAGAATATATTGACACTATCCAGAAACGCTGCCCTCTTCTCTGGACCAAAGCTTATTTCAAATGGACTAAAGCAAAGCGGAGAAATGTTATGCGGGCTGACAAAAGTGCCCAGTTCATAAGTCTGCTTCTCTGAAGGTATGGGTACATTAAGAGTCTCTGATATGGAGAACTTGCATATCTGGAAAGGAACCATTAAAAAAACATACTGGTATTCAGCAGGTATATACAAACTTCAGAAAACATACGCTTTCCTCCAGATGACGTTTCGTTTCAAGGAAAACCTTGCATATTTCAACAAGACAATGCCATACAGACTGCATACATCCATTAACTTTACCCGCTTCTTCCTTTTTTGGGTCGTGTGGGTCACTATTGTCCATGTCCAGCCACCACTGTGCGAGAGGTGAGGTACACCTTGGGCAGGTCTCCAGTCCATCACAGGGCCACATAGAGACAAACTAGACAACCATTCACTCTCTCACTCACACCTAGGGACAATTTAGAGTTACCAACAGAATGAATTTGTAATAAGAGTCAAGGTGCTGAACTGGCCTGCTTGCAGTCCAGACTTCTCACTGGCCCCACCCTGCCTGAAGACATCTACAATAGTCCTCTTACCCAAGAAACCCCAAATTTCCTGTCTAAATGACTACCGGCCAGTTGCTCTCACTCCAGTGGTGATTAAGTGTTTTGAAATCTGGTCAGGAGTCACATCACTTCACTCCTCCCACAACCCCTTGACCCTCACCAATTTGCCTACACAGCTAACAGATCAACTGAGGATGCCATATAGGCACAGCCCTCCATGTTTCTGATGAGAGTTTAAAATTAGATCACAGTATTTAAATGCATATTTATTGACAAAGAACGATGTCACAGAAAGAATTTTAAAACTTTTATTAAAACATGTACCAGACTTGACTACTTTTGCATCTCCAAAACCTGACCATCGACACGTTGATGCAGAGCTTATGGGCTGCAGCTGTTTCCTCCTTCGACCAATCGATCGCTTTTAACATGAAAGCTGCGTCATAAGAAATTCTCTGTACTTTTCCATTATCGCTGAACAAATGAACGGGTCTGTGGATTAAGCATAAAATATGATAACACGGGAATGATGTGAAGAAATTAATTCACGTCTATCTTGGGAGATGGTCCTGGAGAGTACCTCACTGGTAATAGGCCCTTTTCACAATTACGTCAGACAACTTCTGTTCTGACTTGACGCAGTGGATCAGTACTTCCGGGTCTAATCTCCCTCGGGAGACCTGTCTGGAAACTTGACGGAATTTCATTCATTCAATATATACAAGTGTTTGTATATATTTTATATATGTAATACACACACACACACATATATATATATATATATATATATATATATATATATATATATATATA